TCACCATCTTCTCCACACCTCACACAGAATGAATTAAGGGGCTTGCCATTTTCATTTGTTTTGTTGACCTGGTGTTTCCTCAGCATGTGTTCAATAAGTGTTTGCTGGATGAAGAAATGAATGAATGAATGAAATTACCAGGCATGGGAAATAACTGATTTAAATTTCAGAGTCTGCCCCCACCTGGGCCTCCTGCCTTCATGAAGAAATCTACACTTCCCTCACCTGTGATCACCTGAGTTTACAATTTCCCTGGAAACTACCACTGAGAGGGTCACTGTGGACACCTCCTACCCAAGCCCAAACACCACCATAGAGATGAGGATGCTCCCAACAGGACAGTGTATGATGCTTCCTGCATTGGACCGTGCACATCCCTGTCAGTTTAACAAGGGAAAGTGCCATCTCTACTGGGTTTCCACCCAACCTGCCCATATCCACAGCTTGGGCCAGCCCTCAACTCTAGACAGTGTCTGGTGGCAACATAGGCCAGTGATCACAGCTTCAGGACACCTGCCCCCTTGTGGTCCAAGAGCTCAGAAGATACAGGAGACCATTTGAGACATGGTCACCACCTGGATCATTTTCATTGTATATCCACACACTGCACTTCATGTGCATAGTCTGAGCTGATTAGTCCCAGGGCACTCTTCCTCCAGTCTCCCCTCCATGCAGCCATACTGCCATCTTCCACTGCTCATTGGCAAGAGGCTCATCAGTCACCAACCCATTCACATAGGCCAGCCTCTGTGGAGGGTCCCCAAGGAATAAAACACCAGCCCCTAGTAGGCATGAAGACAGCTCCCAGTTCTGGAATGCTGGAGATGTTGCACAGGATCGCTGGAATGATCAAGAGAGGCAGCTTGCCCAGAAAGATGAAGGAAGCCAGCCATACTCTTCCTGACAGAGGGAAGGAAATTCTGAGGGAGGGTGTGGTGTTCTGCATGTTGCTAATGCATTCAGCCAACAGGCCGGCACATTCAGATCACAGGACCCAGTCCAATTGGTGATGATGGTGCCAGATTTCCCAAACCTATTCCTGTTTATTGTCCCGTTCTCCCTCCTCCCTTCTCCCTTCTTTTCCTCAGGTCCCTGATCCCACTGGGCTGAACTCTGGATTCAGAGTGCTGAGTGCCAGCCTGCCTGCGGCTCTGTGGTCTTGGTTTCACATGTGGTGTCTCTGATAGACTCTGGCAATTGCTCTCCCCTGGATCCTCCCACTGCACCTCATGGGCTGAGGGTGTCCTCTCTGCTCCACTTCCTTGGCTTCTGTTGAGTCTGGCAAATTATTCTCAAAGCAGTATAGAGGGAGGGTGTGGTGTTCTGTCCACTTTTCAGAATTTTAAGTAATCTGTGATTTTTATTAGAATGTGAATTGGTACAGCATTTTTTGTAATGAAATTTTAAGTATTTATAAAGTGTTAAACTATTTACAACATTTTCATTTTAACCCAGTGTCCATGTTAATACATTTCTTATAAGAAAACATTCATGTTTGCCCTATAATCATATTTAAACATGTTGATTTTATTCAGTTCATCATGCAGCAAATGGTAAACAATGTATGTGTTTATTAAGAAGAAAGAGTTTAATTATGGTGCATGCCTACTTTAAAATTATAGAAAGTAGTTTCAAAAGAGTTGTATATATGTCCTGTTGTCGGAATAGCCCATATCCATTTTATGAAGTGACAAACACTAGTGGCAGATCAATATCTATATCATTATTCTCTTATATTAAATAAAAATAATATGTTGTTATAGTTTATGTGTCAATGAAGAGCCTAGAGTCAACTTTAAAATAATACACACTAGATAGTTAATTGTGGGAACCTCTGAGGAGGGGGCTAAACCATGGAGGAGCTTTGCAAATGTTAAAATTGTAAATTATCTACGTTTCTATAATTTTTGCAATAAAAATATACAAACTACCTTTTAAATAAAAAATATTTACACTTAACGACAGAAATAGCAGCTGTGTCAGTTAAAGTAACTGCTAGCTGATACAACAGCCAAACCCTGAAATTTGAATGGCTTGACACAACATAAGTTTATACTGTGCACACCTAAGTTCTGATGCGGTTTGGCAGAGGCTCTCCATTCCCACATGACCCGGGGATTCGTGTTACTTCCATCCTGTGATTCCATCATTTCAAGCTGAAGCTGCCATTTTTTGCCATTTAAAGGAGGGAGAAAGCATGGAAATGGCACATTGGCTCTCACATGCCTGGATGTGACAATGTTTCTGTTCATGTTTCAGCAGTAAGGTATTGTCACTTTTCTCCTCCTAACTGCAAGTGAACTGTGCTGTTCCTATGTGTCAAGGAAGGAGAGGAAGACAAGGTGCGGGTCAGTACTATAGTCTCCCCCATAAACTGTTACATAGTAAGTGCTCAATAAAAAGCTGTCATTTTGTGTTACACAATCCGCCTCATTTTTAGGAGGAGTTTCTGAGAAGGCCAGATTTGCCTTGAAGTTCTTCAGCTTATTCAAGTCCCTAATATGTGACTGATGCTTTCAAATGTAGGATCACAACTGTCCCAGAATCTTGAAAGTCTCAGCAGGAAGGCTTCCCTTTGCAATACCCTTTGCATTTTTAACTTTTATTTTAGGTTTGGGGGTGTATGTGAAGGTTTGTTACATAGATAAACAAGTGTCACAGGAGTTTGTTGTACATATTATTTCATCGTCCAAGTATTAAGCCCAGTACTCAATAGTTATCTTTTCTGATCCTCTCCATCCTGCTACCCTCCCCGCCTCAAGTAGACTTCTGTGTCTGTTATTTCCTTCTTTGTGTTCCTAAGTTCTTCTCATTTAGCTCCCTCTAAGTAGGCTGGAAATATTCTCTTCCATTTGATTCCACCACGTGCCTAAACTCCTGTCAGGTGCCTCTAGGCACGCTGAAAGCCAATATTTTCCCATGGTGCAGCTAAGCAGATAAGAGGCAGTAGAAGGCTGCTAAATTATTCCTTTTTCATCAGAGCTGACATATTCAAGGAAAATTCCAAGGAATCATTTTTCACCTCCTGGGGTACTTCAGAGATTTAGGAATTCAGCCTCTGTAAGTAGGTGTTTGTGCTACCGGGATTTCCAAAGTTTTTCCCTATCTAATACTCATGAGCGAGGCTTTGGTTTTAAACATTTCATCTGTGTATGTGTTCAGAGGTGAAATCCAAATAACTCACCCTGTTAAAGTCCAATTTCAAATTTCAAAGTGGTTCCAAACCCTTCTAACTTCAGGGTGACATGCCAAAAACCGATGGATAATATGGCAAATCAGACTCTACTCAACCCATTTGGAAAACACTTGGAGACCGTGTTGAAGTTAACCAGAATGGTACACAGTTGTCTAAAAGTCACTGTCCCTGTGTGAAATTTTATATTAAAAAGGTTGTTGATATGACTTCTTAGGTGAGAGATGGGATAGCCAGAGGACTTTGAAAGAAGGAATGCTTCCTGTCAGGAGGTGAGCAGGTGATTCTGGGTTGTTCTGTGGCGACCAGTAACAAGCTGATCAGCAGGTAAGGTTCCAGAGACAGGACACATGGAAGTGACCAGTGCTGGGACTGAACAGAAATGCCCACCCCTGGGCAGACTCAGCTCTCAAGGAACATAGTGCACACCAGGCCCAAATGGTGTTTGATTCTCATTGCCACCTTCTCCAAGCCTGCTTTTAGTAAGAAAGACCTTGAGGTCTTTCTTTCTGTCACCTGAGACATGGCGCAGTGCTGAGCAGAGAAGTGAAGTACAAGTCAGGATGTCAGCCTAAGTCTAGTGGAAATGGGAACAGCATGGGCTTTCAAGAAATTCAGAACAGGGGCCTGGTTCCAGCCCTGTTCCTTACTAGCCACATAATCCTGGGAATATCCAGGAAATACCATTATGTCCCAATTCCCAAGCCCTGTGAGTACTGAATTCTTCATCTGTGAGCAGATGTGATAAGCCCTGTCTAGTAGGACTGTTGGAGTGTGTGTAATGTAGGTGAAGCACCTGGCTCAGGACCTGGAATTAAATTAGAAGTTTAAGGAATGGCAGATGGCTGTTATTTCTATTATTTGACCCCAGACCCTAGCATTCTGAGATTTTGTTGTTGTTCTCTAGGGCTTATAAGAGAATATACAGCTAAATAGGGCACAGAATAATAAACCAAAAAAGGAAGTCTCATCTATAAAATTCAGTAAGAAATGCCTCATAGAGAATATGCTTCAAAATTTAGGTGTGTGTGAGGTTTACCCAGCCAGATGCAGCTCAAAGTTCCTAGAATTCGAGTCAAAGACCAACTCCTTCCCTTGCTCCTACCTGCTTTTCCATCCATGCCACTATTTTCACTCATTCTGTTACCACCCGAAATCTAGCCCATGCTTAAAATTGGTCAAATTGCACTTGAGATAACCTAATTAGAATGCATTTTTAATATTTCTGGTTCTCCCAGCCAGGTGGAAAAGCACCTGGCCAGTGGTTTCTGGGTCTCCCTTCGGGGGAAACACACCCTTATCTCATGGAAAACCCTTGCAAATAATGGGTGTACATCACCTAGCTCATGCACTGTGTTCAGCAACACTGGGACAAAAGTGTAAGACACCTTCCATTCCTGCCCCATGTAGAGGCTCCTCTCTGTTCATCCACCGTCGAAAAGGAACTGCTCAGAGCAGTTTTCTAAACCAGGCTTTTCTCTCACCCTCTGAGAATCTGGCCCTGGCCCCACCAAGCTTCATTAGAATCAAATCCCTCAAAAGAAAATGTAGTTTCCCAAAGCCCAGAAGGCCCCACACAGGGAATTTATACTCCACCACTCTCACCTGGAGCCCCACACTCACACCCCTCTTATTTTTCCTCTACATCTTAGAGGACTTATCGCCACCTTGATTATGTGACTTCAGCTCCTAGACTCTACCACCTTCTATGGGTAGGGTGAGACTGGCTTACCTTAGCATCCCCACTACCAACCCAGGGCCTTCCACAGAGCAGATACTCAGTGCGTAGAGAAGAAATGAGCCAGTGAACAGGGAGAATTGTTTATTCAGATTTAAATTCTGTTACATTCACAAAGACGCTAAAGGCAATCCAGGTATGCATATATATTTTTTGAATTTTACAGAATACACTGAGGTATAAGGCAAGAATTAAGTATCTTTTAATTTATCTCACGTATTTTACTGTGAATTCAGTCACCATTTTTAACGCTTACTCCACTGCTGTTACTATGTCTCAATTCACAAAATAGAATGGATTTCCCAATCTGAATAGAAAACAAGACTTTTACTCCTTAACTACATAAACACTAATATAGTTGACTACTATAGATAAACTTGTATGCTGAAGTTCAACCATCTATTAAAGGAACATTTAAACAATTCTAAAAGAAACAGAGATACATCTCCAAGTCACTCAATGAAACAGAAACCCACTACTAAGAGCGCTGACTACTCAGAGAGAAGAATGGGCCTCAAGGCACACGAGGCAGGGGAAGCTGCTGGACAGGGCCCTGGAGGTTGAACTGGCCCAGTCCCCTTCCCCTGGCCCTGGCTGCAACTCACTCGTCGTCAGATTCCCTCTTCCTCCTCTGCCAAAGCTGCATCATGCAGGGATGGGTAGGGAATACGATCTCTCGCATTGACCTTGACAACATGCTCCAGGACCTTCACGTAGCTGGTTTCAGCAAGGGCCCTTGGGCCCCATAGGAACTCATAGCGTGCAGGATCACTGCCGGGCACCTGCCGGTACTCCAAGTACTTTTCTTGCACCCAGTCTTGGGTGAGCAGCTTCCTGGGCTCCCCAAAGACACTGTGCTCCTTCCCATCATACACCTCCATCACACTCAGCTCCTCCCAGATTTCCTCCTCAGGGGCGCAGTCGCCCTCCATTGCGATCGTGCCCAGGACGAGTATCAGGAGGCCTGTCTTGGGCAAGATGTGATTACCACCCCCCAGGCCATCGTAGGAGAGGCCCAGGCAGGTGACAAGGGTATAGGACTGGTCGGTGGAGTCCGGATCGTTCACATCAATGCCAAAGATCATCTTCAGGGACTCGGAGGCTTTGCCGAAGATGACAGGAAAGTAGCGCCTGTAATTTCTTACGGCCTTCTCCAGCATTTCTGCCTTTGTAACCGGCTCCTTGGCTCGATACTTGAGGAGCAGAAAATGAGCCAACTCATCCACCTTCTTACTGAGTGCCTCTCGGAACGCACACTCTGGGTCAGGAGAGGTGCTTGGCCCCTCCTCCTCTCGGCAGGTGCTGCTGGAACCCTCACTGGGTTGCCTCCAGTGAGTGAAGTTGACAGTAGTCGGGAAGGCAGAGGCTCCCTGAGCACTCTGGGGAGGACCTGTTGACTCAGCAGCAAGCACCTCCTCCAGCGTGCCTGGGATCAGAGTAGAAGAGGAGGAGGCGGTAGCCTCCTGCTCCTCAGTAGTGGGAGCCTGTGCACCGACCAGGCCCAGGGCTTCTTCTTGGGCCTCAAGACCTTCCTCAGGCTTGCGGTGTTGACTCTTCTCAAGAGACATAATGACTCTGGTCAGGGTCAGAACAGTAGGTGGGAGTGTGGGCAGGAGCTGGGCAATGAAGACCCACAAACCTGGGGAGAGAGGAACCGTGTGAGAGGCCTCAGCTGAGAACCGAACGTTGGAGACGCTAACAAAGGCTTACTTACCGATCTCCTTGGTGCTCCCCTGTGCCTCCAAGGAACCTGGCCCTCCCAGTTGGAGAAGGGGGAACCTGAAGGGGGAAATGAGAGGGCGCCTCAGGGTATACAGCCAGCCAGCAGAGGTCAATTCTGCAGGACTGACAGTAGGGAGGGTGAGGCCACACTCTCTCAAGTCCCATGTGTCCTGCGGCAGGTGGGACCCTTGGTGTGCATTCAGGGGAAACAGTCACTGCTGGCACGGCCTGTGCATCCTCTGCTCTGTAACCTGAGGCCACTGCCTCAGACCAAAGCCCCACTGCCTGGTTCCTGGAGCTCCTGGGTGAGGAATCCACACACCCTCAGGGTGCAGACTGCAAGCACAGCCCTAGCCCCTCACTGCTATCCACCACTGGACTCTGTAACATCCCTACTTTCATGGAGTGGATGGTCCCCTCTGTCCTCACGCAGGGGCCTCACATTTTCTGGCAGGGCCTGAATCCCACCCTTTTTGCTGCTCAGGGAAATGCAGATCAAGAACTCATATCCCTGATAGGGAACAGAAGGACAGCAGGGGACCCACATCTGGCCACACGTGCCTAGGTCCATCCAGGAAGAACAGCAAGAGGTATTAAAATTCATTGAAATTAATGCGTCCTGGGCGAGGAGACTGCTTGGTCCTCACCTTGACCCCTGGCAGGGCCTGGAACTGTCCCTCTACTGACCTGGGTCCAGCCCCCTCAGAGCAAGGCCTCCCCCTCCATGACATCAATGATCCCAGGATGAGAGAGGGACCTCTGCAGACAGCCAAGTCCATGCTCTCTGGGGTGACAACAGGAGCAGGGCTGGTTTCTGTGGGGTCACCATCTGCCTTCTGGCCCTGGGGTACCCTCAATCCTCCCTCACATTCCTCACCAGGACTCTTGGCAGAACCTGGGACCACTGTGTCTGTTGACCAGATAAGGATCCCTGTGTTGACCTGAATCACTCTCTGAGAACAAGGTCCTCATTGAGCTGAAATCTGCAATCAGAAGTGAGAAGTAGCCATATCCTGTCATCCCTGTGTGCTGACACCTTTGGTTCTGGAGTGAGGGTTCTGATGGGTGCCTGTGGGTTACTCATCTTTACTCCTGATGGGGCTCAAACCCCCTGAGATGAGCAGATATTGTCCCTTTATTCCAAAACCTCATCTCTCTGAAGGTTCCCCAACTTCCTGCCTGTGGCACAAGTGCGCTTGGCACTTAGGGCCATTTCTGCCCTGGTCCCTCCTGAGCTAAGAACAGGGACAGCCAGACTCTGTGGGACCCCTTCTTTCTGAGCCAGGGTGTTTCCCAGTCCTAAGTTGGACACACGTTGGGTCCTGTAGATCCTGGGACTCCTCCCTCTGCTGACTAAAGTACCACTCCTCTGACCATAGTCCTCTCCTCTCTGTGACCTCCAAGGTGCAAGAAGCATAGACTACATGTTGTTACCATTCCCAGGACCTCCCAGGGCTCAGGTCCACACTGATCTGGAATACAAGGTCCCCTGAGTCTTCCCTCCTCTTCCTTTCCTTGATCTTGGTAGGGCTGGAACCCATCCCTTTGCTGACCTGATTCTCCAATCCTCCGATTCCCAAGGCTGAAAGAGGAGGCACCTCATTCTCAGACAGCAGGGGGGAGGGATCCCCACCTTGAGGTGCTGGGTCTCCTGAGGCCTTCCTCATCTCCCAGGAGGGCCAGGACCCTCCCTTTGCTTCCCTGAGGCTCTGCTCATAATACCAAGCCCCTTCCCTCCTTTAGTCATGGATCTACAGGTCAGGATCCGAGTTCCTGACCATCATTCCCAGGTCTTCCGAGGGACTAGGGGAACAAAACTGGATTCTGCAAAACACATTAGGGGCTGGGGCTGGGGATGTGAATGAAGTTGGGGATGTTGGGTTGAGGTGTGGGTTTAAGGCCCTCATTTCCCTCTCAGGGTCCTGACCTTTATGCCAGACAGTCTGGACCTTGCCCTTTCCTAAGCGGCCCTGCCCTGGGCACACCAAGCTCTGACTCCAGATTCCCCTGCGGCTTTAGTGACAGTGGGAGTGGGACAGCCTAGCCTGAGAGGCAGTCCAGAGCTGGCAGCAGGGGCTGCACTAGATATTTTGGGCCCTGTGTCTAGGATGGAAACCTCCTCACTCCTTCCTCTGGGTCTCACCTTGCCTAGTCACAGAGCCTCGGCCCGCTCCCCTCAGCCAATCTCAATTGGTCTTTCAGAACCATGCCCTCGATACTCTCTGACCCACAATGTGACATCCCACCAATGTTGGAGTTTCCCTGGATTGACAGCAGAAGGGGAACTCCATTCTGCCCAGTGTGGGTGAGGAGCAATGGATGGGGAATGGGACAGCGAGGCAGTGGCAGATTTGTGGGAGTGGGAGTTAGAGTGGGATCCTGGGGGACCTCAGTTAACTCTCAGGTTTCTGACCTTGATTCTTGACAACCTGGGCCATGTCCTCTCCTAACCAGGCATTCCCTGATCACACCCACGTCTGACTCCACGACTCAAAAGTCCCATGTGGCTTAAACAAAGGTGTTGTGGTGGGGGCAGGGGAGGGAGCTCCGCCGGAAAAGTTTGCCCCCGGGTGGTCCAGGACTGGCAGCAGGAGTGGTGCTGGATTACTTGGGGCCCTTCATCTGGGGCGGGGGCCTCCTAACACCTCCCTCAACCTCTCACCTTGCCTCCTCAGAGCCTGGGCTCGCTTCCCTCTGCTGATCTCAAGCTGCCCCTAAGGAGAACCTCGTTTCTCTCTAATCACCAATAAGCAAGTCAGTGTCCAGTGGCATCACAACTGGATACACGGGGCTTCCCTGGATCGACAGCAGAGGCAGCAGCTGTAATCGGCCAGGGTGAGGGTGGGGATTCCGAGAGGGTTGTAGGTGAAAAGGCAGAGTGGATGAGGATCTAGGTTGAGGAATAAGGGTGGGAATGGCAATGAAGTGGCGGTTGGTTCCTGGGAGCGGGGATTACAATGGGCTCTTAGGGACCTTCGGCCCTCACTGAAATTCCTGACTTTGATGTGTGGCAAAGCCTGGATGCTGCTCTCCTAAGCAGCCCTTCCCCGGTCAGACCACACCACACTCTAACTCCAGAGTCCCTTGCATGGACAGTGTTGGGGTACAGGTAGAAGGGAGGTGGGAAGCTGGAGGTGGCGCAGCCTGAGAAGTACACCCTCGAAGGGTGGTCAACAGTTGGGACCCTCTACCTGGGATGCAGTCATCCTGAGTCCTCCCTCAGTGTCTTATCTTGCCTCCTCACTGAGCCGGGGCCCCCTTCACTCCGCCTATCTCAAGCCAACCCTCAGACACAGAACCTCACTTCCCTCTAACCCCCAATGCATAGGTCAGTGGCATCACATGTGGGAACCCAGGGCCTGCCTGTGTTGAAAGCAGGGATGGAACCAGATTCCACAGGGAGGGAGATGAGGGCAGAGAATGAGGGTATGACCATAGTAGTGAGATGGGAAGGGTAGGGGTGCTAGCGGGGCATAGGGATGGCAATGCGGGACACTCATCACTCTGCTGCGATCCTGACATTGATTCCTGGCAGAACCTACCCCCACCAGTCTTGCATTGACCACCCCAAACTCTGACTCCCAAGTTCCTTGTGGCTTAAACGGCAGTGGGGGTGGTGCCCCTCCCCTACTCAGAAGTCCACCCACTGGTGGCCCAGGGCTGGCAGCAGGAGTGGTAAGGGATTATTTGGGGTCATCTATCTGGGGTGGGGACCTCCTGAGTCCTCCCTCAGCATCTCACCTTGCCTCGTAACAGCCCTGCCCGCTTCGCTCCATCAATCCCAAACTGCTGGTCCTACCAAGAACCCGGGCTTCTCTCTAACACCCCCGCCCCATGCACAAGTCAGTAGCATCACATCCGGGCACCTGGGAGTGACTGGGTGAAACCAAACGCTGCGTGGATGGGGCTGGGGGTATGAGATTATGAGGTTGGTAGGGGCTGGAGAGAATAGGGGTAATGGTGGGAAATGGGAGGGTGGATGGGAATAAGAATGGGTTGGGAGATGGGGACGGATGTGGGACTCTGAGCCCTCTCCTGGGATCCCCACGTTGATTCCTGGCAGAGCCTACCCCCACCAGTCTTGCACTCACCAGCTCAAACTCTGACTCCCGAGTTCCCTGTGGCTTAAACCGCAGTGGGGGTGGTGCCCCTCCCCCACACAGAAGTCCACCCATGGGTGGCCCAGGAGTGGCAGCAGGAATCGTACGGGACAATTTGGGGTCATCAATCTGGGGTAAGGACCTCCTGAGTCCTCCCTCAGCATCTCACCTTGCCTCCTAACAGAACCTTGCCAGCTTCTCTCTGCCAATCTCAAGCTGCTGGTCATACCAAGAACCGCGCTTCTCTCTAACACCCCCGCTCCGTGTGCAAGCCCGTAGCATCACATCCGGGCACTTGGGTGTGACGGGGTGAAACTGGATGCTGCGTGGATGGGCGTCTGTGTTGGGTTGGGGAATTGGAATTATGAGGTTGGTAGGGGCTGAAGAGAATATGGGTACTGGTGGGGAATGGGAGGGTGGATGGGAATAAGAATGGGCTGTGGATGCGGTTGGAAATGGGGGAGGCTCAACCCTCTCCTGGGATCCCCACGTTAATTCCTGGCAGAGCCTACCCCCACCGGTCTTGCATTGACCAACCCAAACACTGACTCCCGAGTCCCCTGTGGGTTAAACGGCAGTGGGGTTGGTGCCCCTCCCCACTCAGAAGTCCACCCACAGGTAGCCCAGAGCTGGCAGAGGGAGTGCTAATGGATTATTTGGGGTCGTCTATCTGGAACGGGAACCTCTTGCGTCCCTCCCTCAGCGTCTCACCTTGCCTCCTAACAGAGCCTTGCCCGCTTCCCTCCCCCAATCCCAAGCTGCTGGTGAGACCAAGAACCGCGCTTCTCTCTAACCCGCCCCCCACGCGCAAGTCAGTGACGTCACATCCGGGCACCTGGGTGTGACTGGGTGGAACCGGATGCTGCGTGGTTGGGGGTGGGGGATTGGGATTATGAGGTTGGTAGGGGCTGGAGAGGATAAGGGTACTGGTGCGGGATGGGAAGGTGGATAGGAATAAGAATGGGTTGGGGGATGGGGACGGATGTGGGACTCTGAGCTCTCTCCTCGGATCCCCACGTTGATTCCTGGCAAAGACTACCCCCACCAGTCTTGCATTTACCATGCCAAGCTCTTTGAGTCCCGAGTCCCCTGTGGCTTCAATGGGGGTGGTGCCCCTCCCCCACTCAGAAGTCCACCCACGGTGGCCCAGAGCTGGCAGCAATAGTGCTAATGTATTACTTGGGGTCCTCTATCTGGGGAGGGGACCTCCTGCTTCCTCCCTCAGCGTCTCAACTTACCTCCTAACAGAGCCTTGCCCGCTTCCCTCCGTCAATCCCGAGCTGCTGGTCTGACCTAGAACCGCGCTTCTCTCTAACCCGCCCCCCACGCGCAAGTCAGTGGCGTCACATCCGGGCACCTGGGTGTGACTGGCTGGAACCGGATGCTGCGTGGTTGGGGGTGGGGGAATGGGATTATGACGTTGGTAGGGGCTGGAGAGAATGGGGGTACTGGTGCGGGATGGGAGAGTGGATGGGAATAAGAATGGGTTGGGGAATGGGGACAGAATGGGGGACTCGGAGCCCTCTCCTAAGATCCTGAAGTTAATTCCTGGCCGAGCCTACCCCCACCAGTCTTGCATTGACCACGCCAAACCCTTTGAGTCCCGAGTCCCCTGTGGCTTAAACGGCACTCTGACTGGTCCCCTCCCCCACGCAGAAGTCCACCCACGGGTGGCCCAGGGCAGCCAGCAGGAGTGGTAAGGGATTATTTGGGGTCCTCTATCTAAGGTGGGGAGCTACTGAGTCCTCCCTCAGCGTCTCGCCTTGCTTCTTAACAGAGCCTTACCCGCTTCTCTCCGTCAACCCCGAGCTGCTGGTCGGACCAAGAACCACGCTTCTCTCTAATCCACCCCCCATGCGCAAGTCAGTGGCGTCACATCCGGGCACCTGGGTGGAACCGGATGCTGCGTGGTTGGGGGTGGGGGAAATGGGATTATGAGGTTAGTAGGGGCTGGAGAGAATGGGGGTACTGGTGCGGGATGGGAGGGTGGATGGGAATAAGAATGGGTTGGGGAATGGGGACAGAATGGGGGACTCGGAGCCCTCTCCTAAGATCCTGAAGTTAATTCCTGGCCGAGCCTACCCCCACCAGTCTTGCATTGACCACGCCAAACCCTTTGAGTCCCGAGTCCCCTGTGGCTTAAACGGCACTCTGACTGGTCCCCTCCCCCACGCAGAAGTCCACCCACGGGTGGTCCAGGGCAGCCAGCAGGAGTGGTAAGGGATTATTTGGGGTCCTCTATCTAAGGTGGGGAGCTACTGAGTCCTCCCTCAGCGTCTCGCCTTGCTTCTTAACAGAGCCTTACCCGCTTCTCTCCGTCAACCCCGAGCTGCTGGTCGGACCAAGAACCACGCTTCTCTCTAATCCACCCCCCATGCGCAAGTCAGTGGCGTCACATCCGGGCACCTGGGTGGAACCGGATGCTGCGTGGTTGGGGGTGGGGGAAATGGGATTATGAGGTTAGTAGGGGCTGGAGAGAATGGGGGTACTGGTGCGGGATGGGAGGGTGGATGGGAATAAGAATGGGTTGGGGAATGGGGACAGAATGGGGGACTCGGAGCCCTCTCCTAAGATCCTGAAGTTAATTCCTGGCCGAGCCTACCCCCACCAGTCTTGCATTGACCACGCCAAACCCTTTGAGTCCCGAGTCCCCTGTGGCTTAAACGGCACTCTGACTGGTCCCCTCCCCCACGCAGAAGTCCACCCACGGGTGGCCCAGGGCAGCCAGCAGGAGTGGTAAGGGATTATTTGGGGTCCTCTATCTAAGGTGGGGAGCTACTGAGTCCTCCCTCAGCGTCTCGCCTTGCTTCTTAACAGAGCCTTACCCGCTTCTCTCCGTCAACCCCGAGCTGCTGGTCGGACCAAGAACCACGCTTCTCTCTAATCCACCCCCCATGCGCAAGTCAGTGGCGTCACATCCGGGCACCTGGGTGGAACCGGATGCTGCGTGGTTGGGGGTGGGGGAATGGGATTATGAGGTTAGTAGGGGCTGGAGAGAATGGGGGTACTGGTGCGGGATGGGAGGGTGGATGGGAATAAGAATGGGTTGGGGAATGGGGACAGAATGGGGGACTCGGAGCCCTCTCCTAAGATCCTGAAGTTAATTCCTGGCCGAGCCTACCCCCACCAGTCTTGCATTGACCAAGCCAAACCCTTTGAGTCCCGAGTCCCCTGTGGCTTAAACGGCACTCTGACTGGTCCCCTCCCCCACGCAGAAGTCCACCCACGGGTGGCCCAGGGCAGCCAGCAGGAGTGGTAAGGGATTATTTGGGGTCCTCTATCTAAGGTGGGGAGCTACTGAGTCCTCCCTCAGCGTCTCGCCTTGCTTCTTAACAGAGCCTTACCCGCTTCTCTCCGTCAACCCCGAGCTGCTGGTCGGACCAAGAACCACGCTTCTCTCTAATCCACCCCCCATGCGCAAGTCAGTGGCGTCACATCCGGGCACCTGGGTGGAACCGGATGCTGCGTGGTTGGGGGTGGGGGAAATGGGATTATGAGGTTAGTAGGGGCTGGAGAGAATGGGGGTACTGGTGCGGGATGGGAGGGTGGATGGGAATAAGAATGGGTTGGGGAATGGGGACAGAATGGGGGACTCGGAGCCCTCTCCTAAGATCCTGAAGTTAATTCCTGGCCGAGCCTACCCCCACCAGTCTTGCATTGACCACGCCAAACCCTTTGAGTCCCGAGTCCCCTGTGGCTTAAACGGCACTCTGACTGGTCCCCTCCCCCACGCAGAAGTCCACCCACGGGTGGCCCAGGGCAGCCAGCAGGAGTGGTAAGGGATTATTTGGGGTCCTCTATCTAAGGTGGGGAGCTACTGAGTCCTCCCTCAGCGTCTCGCCTTGCTTCTTAACAGAGCCTTACCCGCTTCTCTCCGTCAACCCCGAGCTGCTGGTCGGACCAAGAACCACGCTTCTCTCTAATCCACCCCCCATGCGCAAGTCAGTGGCGTCACATCCGGGCACCTGGGTGGAACCGGATGCTGCGTGGTTGGGGGTGGGGGAATGGGATTATGAGGTTAGTAGGGGCTGGAGAGAATGGGGGTACTGGTGCGGGATGGGAGGGTGGATGGGAATAAGAATGGGTTGGGGAATGGGGACAGAATGGGGGACTCGGAGCCCTCTCCTAAGATCCTGAAGTTAATTCCTGGCCGAGCCTACCCCCACCAGTCTTGCATTGACCAAGCCAAACCCTTTGAGTCCCGAGTCCCCTGTAGCTTAAACGGCACTCTGACTGGTCCCCTCCCCCACGCAGAAGTCCACCCACGGGTGGCCCAGGGCAGCCAGCAGGAGTGGTAAGGGATTATTTGGGGTCCTCTATCTAAGGTGGGGAGCTACTGAGTCCTCCCTCAGCGTCTCGCCTTGCTTCTTAACAGAGCCTTACCCGCTTCTCTCCGTCAACCCCGAGCTGCTGGTCGGACCAAGAACCACGCTTCTCTCTAATCCACCCCCCATGCGCAAGTCAGTGGCGTCACATCCGGGCACCTGGGTGGAACCGGATGCTGCGTGGTTGGGGGTGGGGGAAATGGGATTATGAGGTTAGTAGGGGCTGGAGAGAATGGGGGTACTGGTGCGGGATGGGAGGGTGGATGGGAATAAGAATGGGTTGGGGAATGGGGACAGAATGGGGGACTCGGAGCCCTCTCCTAAGATCCTGAAGTTAATTCCTGGCCGAGCCTACCCCCACCAGTCTTGCATTGACCACGCCAAACCCTTTGAGTCCCGAGTCCCCTGTGGCTTAAACGGCACTCTGACTGGTCCCCTCCCCCACACAGAAGTCCACCCACGGGTGGCCCAGGGCAGCCAGCAGGAGTGGTAAGGGATTATTTGGGGTCCTCTATCTAAGGTGGGGAGCTACTGAGTCCTCCCTCAGCGTCTCGCCTTGCTTCCTAACAGAGCCTTGCCCGCTTCTCTCCGTCAACCCCGAGCTGCTGGTCGGACCAAGAACCACGCTTCTCTCTAATCCACCCTCCATGCGCAAGTCAGTGGCGTCACATCCGGGCACCTGGGTGGAACCGGATGCTGCGTGGTTGCGGGTGGGGGAATGGGATTATGACGTTGGTAGGGGCTGGAGAGAATGGGGTTACTGGTGCGGGATGGGAGGGTGGATGGGAATAAAAATGGGTTGGGGAATGGAGACGGAATGGGGGACTCAGAGCCCTCTCCTGGGATCCTGCAGTTAATTCATGGCAGAGCCTATCCCCACCAATCTTGCACTGACTACGCCAAGCCCTTTGAGTCCCGAGACCCCTGTGACTCCAACCACAGTGGCCGTGGTGCCCATCCCCCACTCAGAAGTCCAGCCACGGGTGGCCCAGAGCTGGCAGCAGAGTTGTAATGGATTATTTGGCGTCATCTATCTCGCGTGGGGAGCTCCTGAGTCCTCCCTCAGCGTCTCAGCATTCCTCCTAACAGTGCCTTGCCCGCTTGCCTCCCCCAATCCCGAGCTGCTGGTCAGACCAAGAACCGCGCTTCTCTCTAACCCGCCGCCCATGCGCAAGTCAGTGGCGTCACATCTGGGCGTGACTGGGTGGAACCGGATCCGGCGTGGTTGGGGGTGGGGGTATTGGGGTGGCGGAATGGGTTTATGAGGTTGGTAGGAGCTTGAGAGAATGGGGGTATTGGTGCGGGATGGGAGGGTGGATGGGAATAAGAATGGGTTGGAGAAAGGGGATGGGAATGGGGGACTCAGAGCCCTCTCCTGGGATCCCCACGTTAATTCCTGGCACAGCCTACCCCACCAGTCTTGCATTGACCACGCCAAGTTCTTTGAGTCCCGAGTCCCCTGTGGCTTCAACGGCAGTAGGGGTGGTGCCCCTCCCCCACTAAGCAGTCCACCCACGGGTGGCCGAGGGCTGGCAGCCGGAGTGGTAAGAGATTATTTGGAGTCGTCTACCAGGGAAGGGGACCTCCTGCGTCCTCCCTCTACGTCTCAACTTACCTCCTAACAGAGCGTTGCCCGCCTCTCTCCGTCAATCCCAAACCGCTGGTCGGACCAAGAACTGCGCTTCTCTCTAACCCGCCCCCACGCGAAAGTCAGTGGCGTCACATCCGGGCACCTGGGTGGAACCGGATGCTGCGTGGTTGGGGATGGGGGAATGGGATTATGACGTTGGTAGGGGCTGGAGAGAATGGGGGTACTGGTGCGGGATGGGAGGGTGGATGGGAATAAAAATGGGTTGGGGAATGGGGACGGAATGGGGGACTCAGAGCCCTCTCCTGGGATCCTGCAGTTAATTCATGGCAGAGCCTATCCCCACCAGTCTTGCACTGACCACGCCAAGCCCTTTGAGTCCCGAGTCCCCTGTGACTTCAACCACAGTGGCCGTGGTGCCCATCCCCCACTCAGAAGTCCAGCCACGGGTGGCCTAGAGCTGGCAGCAGAGTTGTAATGGATTATTTGGCGTCATCTATCTCGCGTGGGGAGCTCCTGAGTCCTCCCTCAGCGTCTCAGCATTCCTCCTAACAGTGCCTTGCCCGGTTGCCTCCACCAATCCCGAGCTGCTGGTCAGACCAAGAACCGCGCTTCTCTCTAACCCGCCCCCCATGCGCAAGTCAGTGGCGTCACATCCGGGCGTGACTGGGTGGAACCGGATCCGGCGTGGTTGGGGGTGGGGGTATTGGGGTGGCGGCAGAGCCTTGCGTGCCTCTCTCCGTCAATCCCAAACTGCTGGTCGGACCAAGAACCGCGCTTCTCTCTAACTCGCCCCCACGCGCAAGTCAGTGGCGTCACATCCGGGCACGTGGGTGTGACTGGCTGGAACCGGATGCTGCGTGGTTGGGGGTGGGGGAATGGGATTATGACGTTGGTAGGGGCTGGAGAGAATGGGGGTACTGGTGCGGGATGGGAGGGTGGATGGGAATAAGAATGGGTTGGGGGATGGGGACGGAATGGGGGACTAGGAGCCCTCTCCTGGGATCCTGAAGTTAATTCCTGGCCGAACCTACACCCACCAGTCTTGCATGGACCACACCAAACTCTTTGAGTCCCGAGTCCCCTGTGGCTTAAACGGTAGTTGGGTTGGTGCCCCTCCCCCACGCAGAAGTCCACGCACGGGTGGCCCAAGGCTGGCAGCCGGAGTGGTAAGGCATTATTTGGGGTCATCTATCTAGTGTGGGGATTTCCTGTGTCCTGCCTCAGGGCCTCGCCTTGCCTCCTAACAGAGCCTTGCCCGCTTCCCTCCGTCAATCCCAAGCTGCTGGTCGGACCAAGAACCGCACTTCTCTCTAACCCGCCCCCCATGCGCCAGTCAGTGGCGTCACATCCGGGCACATGGGTGTGACTGGGTGGAACAGGATGATGATTGGTTTGGGGTGGGGGATGGTGATTATGAGGTTGGTAGGAGCTGGAGAGAATAGGGGTACTGGGGGCGATGGGATGGGAATGTGGGATGCCCAGGCCACTCCTGGAATCCCCACATTGATCCCTGGCAGAGCCTGCCCCCACCAGTCTTGAATGGAGCACACCAAACTCTGACTCCTGAGTCCCCTGTGGCTTCAAGGGCAGTGGGGGTGGTGCCCCTCCCCCACTCAGAAATCCACCCACGGGTCGCCCAGAGCTGGCAGCAGGATTGCTAATGGATTATTTGGGGTCATCTATCTGGGTAGGGGACCTCCTGAGTCCTCTTTCAGCGTCTCACCTTTCTTCCTAACAGAGCCTTTCGAGCTTCTCAGCGAATCCCAAGCTGCTGGTCCTACCAAGAACCGCAGTTCTCTCTAACACCCCCGCCCCATGTGCAAGCCCGTAGCGTCACATCCGGACTCTTGGTGTGACGGGGTGAAACTGGATGCTGCGTGGATGAGAGTGTGTGTTGGGTTGAAGAATTGGGATTATGAGGTTGGTAGGGGCTGGAGAGAATATGGGGACTGGTGGGGGATGGGAGGGTGGCTAGGAACAAGAATGGGCTGTGGACGCAGTTGGCAATGGGGGACGCTCACCCCTCTCCTGGGATCCCCACGTTGACTCCTGGCAGAGCCTGCCCCCACCAGTCTTGAATGGAGCACCCCAAACTCTGACTCCCGAGTCCCCTGTGGCTTCAAGGGCAGTGGGGGTGGTGCCCCTCTCCCACACAGAAGTCCCCCCACGGGTGGGTGGCCCAGAGGTGGCAACAGGAGTGGTAACGGATTATTTGGGGTCATCTATCTGGGTTGGTCCCCTCTCAGTGTCTCACCTTTCCTCCTAACAGAGCCTTTCGAGCTTCTCTCAGCGAATCCCAAGCTGCTGGTCGGACCAAGAACCGCACTTCTCTCTATCCCGCCCCCCATGCGCAAGTCAGTGGCGTCACATCCGGGCACCTGGGTGCGACTGGGTCCGACCGGATGCTGCGTGGTTGGGGGTGGGGGTATTGGGGTGGGGGAATGGGATTATGAGGTTGGTAGGGGCTGGAGTGAATGGGGGTACTGGTGCGGGATGGGAGGGTGGATGGGAATAAGAATGATTTGGAGGAATGGAATGGGAATGGGGGACTCTGGGCCCTCGCCTGGGATCCCCAGGTGGATTCCTGGAAGAGCCTACCGCCACCAATCTTGCATTGATCCCGCCCAGTTCTTTGAGTCCCGAGTCCCCTGTGGCTTCAAGGGCAGTGGGGTTGGTGCCCCTCCCCCACTCGGATGAGGGTGTGTGTTCGGTTGAAGAATTGGGATTATGAGGTTGGTAGGGGCTGGAGAGAGTATGGGGACTGGTGGGGGATGGGAGGGTGGCTAGGAATAAGAATGGGCTGTGGATGCAGTTGGCAATGGGGGACGCTCACACCTCTCCTGTGATCCCCACGTTGACCCCTGGCAGAGCCTACCCCCACCGGTCTTGCATTGATCAACCCCAACACTAACTCCCGAGTCCCCTGTGGCTTCAACGGCAGTGGGGGTGGTGCCCCTCCCCCACTCAGAAGTCCACCCACGGGTGGCCCAGGGCTGGCAGCAGGAGTGGTAATGGATTATTTGTGCTCGTCCATCTCAGGTGGGGAGCTCCTGAGTCTTCCCTCAGAGTCTCACCTTGCCTCCTAACAGAGCCTTGCCCGCTTCCCTGCCCCAATCCCGAGCTGCTGGTCGGACCAAGAACCGCGCTTCTCTCTAACCCGCCCCCCACGCGCAAGTCAGTGGCGTCACATCCGGGCACCTGGGTGCGACTGGGTCCGACCAGATGCTGCGTGGTTGGGGGTGGGGGAATGGGATTATGACGTTGGTAGGGGCTGGAGAGAATGGGGGTACTGGTGCGGGATGGGAGGGTGGATGGGAATAAGAATTGGTTGGGGGATGGGGACAGAATGGGGGACTCGGAGCCCTCTCCTGGGATCCTGAAGTTAATTCCTGGCCGAGCCTACCCCCACCAGTCTTGCATTGACAAAGCCAAATTCTTTGAGTCCTTAGTCCCCTGTGGCTTAAACGGTAGTTGGGTTGGTGCCCCTCCCCCACGCAGAAGTCCACGCACGGGTGGCCCAAGGCTGGCAGCCGGAGTGGTAAGGCATTATTTGGGGTCATCTATCTAGTGTGGGGATTTCCTGTGTCCTGCCTCAGGGCCTCGCCTTGCCTCCTAACAGAGCCTTGCCCGCTTCCCTCCGTCAATCCCAAGCTGCTGGTCGGACCAAGAACCGCACTTCTCTCTAACCCGCCCCCCATGCTCCAGTCAGTGGCGTCACATCCGGGCACCTGGGTGTGACTGGGTGGAACCGGATGATGAGTGGTTTGGGGTGGGGGATGGTGATTATGACGTTGGTAGGGGCTGGAGAGAGTAGGGGTACTGGGGGCGATGGGATGGGAATGTGGGATGCCCAGACCACTCCTGGGATCCCCACGTTGATTCCTGGAAGAGCCTACCGCCACCAGTCTTGCATTGACCCCGCCCAGTTCTTTGAGTCCCGAGTCCCCTGTGGCTTCAACGGCAGTGGGGGTGGTGCCCCTCCCCCACTCAGCAGTCCACCCACGGGTGGCCGAGGGCTGGCAGCAGGAGTGGTAAGGGATTATTTGGGGTCGTCTATCTGGGGAGGGGACCTCCTGCGTCCTCCCTCAGCGTCTCACCTTGCCTCCTAACAGACCCTAGCCCACTTCCCTCCCTCAATCCCAAGGTGCTGGTAGGACCAAGAACCGCGCTTCTCTCTAACCCGACCCCCAGGCACAGGTCAGTGGTGTGACATCCGAGCACCTGGGTGTGACTGGGTGGAACCAGATGCTGCCTGGATAGGGATGGGGGTCTTGGGGTTGGGGGTTGGGATTATGAGGTTGGTAGGGGCTGGAGAGAATAGGGCTACTGGTGTTGTATGGGAGGCCGGATGGGAATACGAATGGGTTGAGGGATGGGGATGGGAATGGGGGACTGTCCGCCCTCTCCTAGGATCCTGAGGTTGATTTCTGGCAGAGCCAACCCCCACCAGTCTTTCATTGACCAACCCGAACACTGACTCCCGAGTCCCCCGTGGTTTAAACGGCAGTGGGGGTGGTGCCCCTCCCCCACTCAGAAATCCACCCACGGGTGGCCCAGGGCTGGCAGCGGGAGTGGAAATGGATTATTTTGGGTCGACTATCTGGGGTGCGGACCTCCTGAGTCGTCCCTCAGCGTCTCACCTTCCCTCCTAGCAGCCCTTCCCGCTTCTTTCCGCCAATCCCAAGCTGCCCGTCCTGCCAAGAACCTCATTTCTCTCTAACACCCCCGCCCTATGCACAAGTCAGCAGCGTCACACCCGGGCACGTGGGTGTGACTGGGTGGAACCGGATGCTGCATGGATGGGGGTGGGTGTGTTAGGTGGGGGATTGGGATTATGAGGTTGGTAGGGGCTGGAGAGAGCATGGGTACTGGTGGGGGATGGGGGGGTCAATGGGAATAAGAATGTGTTGGGGGATGGTGATGGAAATGGGGGACTCTCAGCCCTCTTCCGGGATCCTGATATTAATTCCTGGCAGAGCCTACCCCCACCAGTCTTGCATTGACAAAGCCAAATTCTTTGAGTTCTTAGTCCCCTGTGGCTTAAACGGTAGTTGGGCTGGTGCCCCTCCCCCACGCAGAAGTCCACGCACGGGTGGCCCAGGGCTGGCAGCCGGAGTGGTAAGGCATTATTTGGGGTCATCTATCTGGGGTGGGGAGCTCCTGAGTCCTCCCTCAGAGTCTCAGCTTGCCTTGTAACAGAGCCTTGCCGGCCTCCCTGCCCCAATCCCGAGCTGCTGGTCGGACCAAGAACCGCGCTTCTCTCTAACCCGCCCCCCACGCGCAAGTCAGTGGCGTCACATCCGGGCACCTGGGTGTGACTGGGTGGAACCGGATGATGAGTGCTTTGGGGTGGGGGATGGTGATTATGAGGTTGGTAGGGGCTGGAGAGAATAGGGGTACTGGGGGTGATGGGATGGGAATGTGGGATGCCCAGACCACTCCTGGGATCCCCACGTTGATTCCTGGCAGAGCCTGCCCCCACCAGTCTTGAATGGAGCACACCAAACTCTGACTCCTGAGTTCCCTGTGGCTTCAAGGGCAGTGGGGGTGGTGCCCCTCCACCACTCAGATGAGGGTGTGTTGGGTTGAACAATTGTGATTATGAGGTTGGTACGGGCTGGAGAGAATATGGGGACTGGTGGGGGATGGGAGGGTGGCTAGGAACAAGAATGGGCTGTGGATGCAGTTGGCAATGGGGGACGCTCACCCCTCTCCTGGGATCCCCACGTTGACTCCTGGCAGAGCCTGCCCCCACCAGTCTTGAATGGAGCACCCCAAACTCTGACTCCCGAGTCCCCTGTGGCTTCAAGGGCAGTGGGGGTGGTGCCCCTCTCCCACACAGAAGTCCCCCCACGGGTGGGTGGCCCAGAGGTGGCAACAGGAGTGGTAACGGATTATTTGGGGTCATCTATCTGGGTTGGTCCCCTCTCAGTGTCTCACCTTTCCTCCTAACAGAGCCTTTCGAGCTTCTCTCAGCGAATCCCAAGCTGCTGGTCTGACCAAGAACCGCACTTCTCTCTATCCCGCCCCCCATGCGCAAGTCAGTGGCGTCACATCCGGGCACCTGGGTGCGACTGGGTCCGACCGGATGCTGCGTGGTTGGGGGTGGGGGTATTGGGGTGGGGGAATGGGATTATGAGGTTGGTAGGGGCTGGAGTGAATGGGGGTACTGGTGCGGGATGGGAGGGTGGATGGGAATAAGAATGGGTTGGAGGAATGGAATGGGAATGGGGGACTCTGGGCCCTCTCCTGGGATCCCCAGGTGGATTCCTGGAAGAGCCTACCGCCACCAGTCTTGCATTGACCCCGCCCAGTTCTTTGAGTCCCGAGTCCCCTGTGGCTTCAACGGCAGTGGGGGTGGTGCCCCTCCCCCACTCAGCAGTCCACCCACGGGTGGCCGAGGGCTGGCAGCAGGAGTGGTAAGGGATTATTTGGGGTTGTCTATCTGGGGAGGGGACCTCCTGCGTCCTCCCTCAGCGTCTCACCTTGCCTCCTAACAGACCCTAGCCCACTTCCCTCCCTCAATCCCAAGGTGCTGGTGGGACCAAGAACCGCGCTTCTCTCTAACCCGACCCCCAGGCACAAGTCAGTGGTGTGACATCCGAGCACCTGGGTGTGACTGGGTGGAACCAGATGCTGCCTGGATAGGGATGGGGGTCTTGGGGTTGGGGGTTGGGATTATGAGGTTGGTAGGGGCTGGAGAGAATAGGGCTACTGGTGTTGTATGGGAGGCCGGATGGGAATACGAATGGGTTGAGGGATGGGGATGGGAATGGGGGACTGTCCGCCCTCTCCTAGGATCCTGAGGTTGATTTCTGGCAGAGCCAACCCCCACCAGTCTTTCATTGACCAACCCGAACACTGACTCCCGAGTCCCCCGTGGTTTAAACGGCAGTGGGGGTGGTGCCCCTCCCCCACTCAGAAATTCACCCACGGGTGGCCCAGGGCTGGCAGCGGGAGTGGAAATGGATTATTTTGGGTCGACTATCTGGGGTGGGGACCTCCTGAGTCGTCCCTTAGCGTCTCACCTTCCCTCCTAGCAGCCCTTCCCGCTTCCCTCCGTCAATCCCAAGCTGCTGGTCGGACCAAGAACCGCACTTCTCTCTAACCCACCCCCCCATGCGCCAGTCAGTGGCGTCACATCCGGGCACCTGGGTGTCACGGGGTGGAACAGGATGATGAGTGGTTTGGGGTGGGGGTGTTCGGTTGGGGAATGGTGATTATGAGGTTGGTAGGGGCTGGAGAGAATAGGGGTACTGCTGGGGGATGGGAGGGCGGATGGGAATAAGAATGGGTTGGGTGATGGGGATTGGAATGGGGGACTCTCAGCCCTCTCATGGGATCCTGACGTTGATTCCTGGCATAGCGTACCCCACCAGTCTTGCACTGACCAAGCCAAATTCTGACTCCCGAGTTTCCTGTGGCTTAAACAGCAGTGGGGTTTATGCCCCTCCCCCACTCAGAAGTCCACTCACGGGCGGCCCAGGGCTGGCAGCAGGAGTGGTAAGGGATTATTTGGGGTCATCTATCTGGGTTGGGGACCTCCTGAGTTCTCTCTCAGCGTCTCACCTTGCCTCCTAGCAGAGCCTTGCTAGCTTCTCTCCGCCAATCCCAAGCTGCTGGTCCTACCAAGAACCGCACTTCTCTCTAACACCCCCGCCCCATTTGCAAGCCCGTAGCATCACATCCGTGCGCCTCGGTGTGACGGGGTGAAACTGGATGCTGCATGAATGGGGTGAGTGTGTTGGGGTGTGGGATTGGGATTATAAATTTGGTAAGGGCTGGAGAGAATGGGGTACTGGTGGGGGATGGGAGGGTGGATGGGAATAAGAATGGGTTGGGGAAGGGGATGGCAGTGGGGGATGCTCAGCCCTCACCTGGGATCCCCACGTTAATTCCTGGCAGAGCCTACCTTCACCAGTCTTGCATTGACCAACCCAAACACTGACTCCCAAGTTCCCTGTGGCTTAAATGGCAATGGGGGTGAGGTCCCTCCCCCACTCAGAAGTCCACCCATGGGTGGCCTAGAGCTGGCAGCAGGAATGGTAGTAGATTATTTGGGGTCGTCTATCTGGGGTGGGGACCTCCTGAGTCCTCCCTCAGCGTCTCACCTTGCCTCCTAACAAAGCCTTCCCCGCTTCTCTCCGCCAATCCCAAGCTGCTGGTCGGACCAAGAAGAGTGCTTCTCTCTAACCCGCCCCCCATGCGCAAATCAGTGGCGTCACATTCGGGCACCTGGTGTGACGGTGTGGAACCGGATGCTGAGTAGATGGGGGTGGGGGTTTTGGGTCGGGGCATTGGGGTTATGAGGGTGGTAGGGGCTGGAGAGAATAGGGGTACTGGCAGGGGATGGGAGGGTAGATGAGAATGGGAACAGGGTGGGGGATTGGAATGGGGATGGGGGTCGCTCATCCCTCTCCTAGGGTCCTGATGTTGATGCTTGACAGAATCTGCCCCTACCAGTCTTACATTGATCACAGCAAGCTCTGACTCTACATTCCCCTTCAACTTATGTGGCAGTGGGGTGGTGGGTCCCCCCACACTGAGACGTTCTTCCTAGAGTGTCTGAAAGCTGGCAGCAGGAGTGGGGCTGGATTATTTTTGGTTGTCTATCTGGGGTGGGGGCCTCCTGAATCCTTTGTCAGTGTCTCACCTTGCCTCCTCACACAGCCTGGACTGCTTTCTCTCTGCCAATCCCAAGCTGTGGGTCAGCCCGAGAATCTCACTTCTGTCTGACTCCAGTGCGCAATTCAGTGGCGTCACATCTGGACACCTGAGGCTTCCCTGGGTTGAAAGTGGGGGCTGAACCGGATGCTGCTTCGGTGGGAGTGGGGGATGCGGGTTTTGAGTAGGGGAAGGGGGAATGAGGTTGAAGGGGTTTAGAGAGGTTACGAATGCTCGTGGGGGATGGGGGTGCGGATGGGTTTGGGAATGCAGATGGGAATGAGAACGGGGTGGGGGATGGGAATGGGGGTGGGGGTTACTCAGCTCTCTCCTAGGGTCCTGACAGAGCCCGCCCAGACCAGTCTTGTATTGATCACACCAAGCCCTGACTCCAGAGTTCCCTGGAGCTTAAGAGGCAGTGGGTGGTGGGACCCTCCCAGACTCAGTCCACCCACAGGTGGCCCAGGGCTGGCAGCAGGAATGGTGCTGGATTATTTTGGGTTGTCTATCTGGGGTGGGGGACTCCTGAGTCCTCTGTCAGCGTCTCGCCTTTCCTACTCACAGAGCCTGGCCCGCTTCCCTCTGCCAATCCCAAGCTGCCAGTCAATTGGAGAATCTCCCTTCTCTCTAAACCCCCATGAGCAAGTCAGTGGCGTCACATCTGGGCACCCGGGGCTTCCCTGTGTTGAAAGCTGGGGCGGAACCAGATTCTGCTTGGATGTGGGGGCGGGTTTAGGTTCATGGGGGCTTGGTTTTTATAGGGTGAGGATTGGGATTATGAGGGTGTTGGGGGGTTGGGGAGGATAGGGTGGGGATGGGGGTGTGGATGGGGTTGGGGTTGGGAGTGCAAATGGGAATGGAAATGGCGTGGGCGATGGTAATGTGGGTGGGGGACGCTCAGCCCTCTCCTCGGGTCCTGATGTTCATACCTGCAGAACCTGCCCCCACCAGTCTTGTATTGATGACACCAAGCTCTGACTCCAGCGTCCCCTGCAGCTTAAGGGGCAGTGGGATAGTAGGTCCCTTCCCAGACTCAGAAGTCCGCCCATAAGTGGCCCAGAGCTGGAAGCAGGAGTGGTGCCAGATTATTTGGGATCTTCTACCTGGGGTGAGGGCCTTCTGAGTCCTCCGTCAGCGTCTCACCGTGCCTGCTCACAGAGCCTGGGCCGCCTTCCCTCTGCCAATCAGAAGCTGCTGGTCAGACCAGACCCGGAGTCTTGCTTCTGACCCCCAATGCGCAAGTCAGTGGCATCACATCCGGACACCTGGGGCTTCCCTGGGTTGAAAGCAGGGGGTGGAACTGGATGCTGCCCTAGGGTGGTGGAGTGATGGGGTTTTTGAGTGAGGGATGCGGGTATGAGGGTGGTGGGGGGTTGGGGAGGATACGGGTGCTGCTGGAGGATGGGGGTGTGGATGGCTCTGGGAGTGTGGAAGGGAATGGGAATGGGGTTGGGGGTGGGAATGCAGGTGGACGACCCTCAACCCTCTCTTAGGGTCCTGACACTGGTGCATGGCAGAGCCTGCCATGTGTGAGGCCTCCTCACAGAGCCTGTGCCCACTTCCCTTTGCGCATCTCGAGCTGCTCTGTTCAGACTGACAACCTCGTTTCTCTCTGATCCCCAATACACAAGTCACGACATCACATCCGGGTCAGTGACGTCACACCCGGGTTGACAGCAGGGGCGGAACCAGATTCTGCCAAGGTGGGAGTTGGGGTGGGGTTGAGACAAGGGATCCTGGAGGTAGGGGTTGGGGTGGGGATGTCCCTCAGTCCTCCCTCAGAGTTCCGACCTTGATTCCTGGCGTAGCGTGGACCCCTGTTCTCTGCCAATGGTGTCTGCTCCCTTCAGACCAAGTTTTTGACTCCAAGTCTCCTAAGGTGGCAGTCGGGGGAGAGGTGTCCTTGGGCGACAAGGCCGCTGGGGTCTTCCAAGACTGACAGGAGGAGCTAAGCTGGATTCTGTGGCTTCTCTATGTGGGGGAGGGTGGACCCTCCGTCCTCACTCAAGAGGGCCCTCTTCCTGGGTCCTTCTCTTTGTTGAAGTGATGAGTTGATATGCTCGGTTTATCTCATCTCTGAGCATTTATCTCCAGCAGTACCCCTTGCAGAGAATGGCTGCTGGTACCAGGCAAGGTGCTCCCTGGGTGGCTGCAGCACCTGTGATCGTAGTGACTTCTGGGAGAATATACATACCTTACCCCAGAGGCTCCTCCCCAGCTGGAGCTGGACTTTGCAAACCTTTTTTCCTCAAAGAAATATGTTTCACATATTTTCCAAGGATATATGTAGGTAGCTATATATATATTTATTTCTGTGAAAGAATACTTACCCTTAGTATGCATGATTCACTCTGATACCCTATTCAACTTCTATTCCATTGTTTATGTTCTGTTGAAAGAATTATTTAAACATGCCAATTGTTGCCCACTAAGTTGGTTTCAGGTTGTTATTAGCGGAACTCTGGAACCATACTGCCTTAACCCAATTGTCCTGGTGTCCTGCTATTACCCTAGGGCTTCGGGCATCGTGTTTTGGGGTGCTGCCTGAGATTGTTCATCCTATTTGCTCTGTCATCTGACGTCTAGGCGGGCTATAGACCTCTTCCACATCCCTGCCACCAACTCTCTTCCAATCGACACCGCCCCAAACACAAGTACCAGTTCAACACAGTCTTCATTCTCACCCAGGGCTTTCTCTGTTTGTTACTTAGATTTTATTGCTGATATTGTTGTTGTTGTTTTTTTCTTTCTTTTTCTCTTCTATAATTTTCCAGAGTTGATTTGAGAAGCAGAGAACAGCAGCCTAAGTTTGTAATTTTGGCAGCTACAGGTAAGACACTAAATTGCAAATAATTTAAGCAGAATTGACATTTTTACAATATTCTGCTTCCCATAAATGAATATATTATGCTCCTCTACTTATTTCAAACTCCTTTTACCTGGATCTATCAGTGTACTTCGACAGTTTCATCTAGAAAGACCTTACACATTTTTCTTAGGCTTCTTTTTTGGTAACTCTTAGATTTTGTTACTATTGAAAATGGTATATTTTCTATTAATTGTTCTAGTTAATGGAAATTAATTAATTCTAATCGTTATTGCTATTGTGTGACAGAGATTTTGATTTTGCAAAGTTATCTGTTGTACACCTTGTTCTGAAACCCATTCACTTGAATGTTCGACGTGCCTTTTTATTTGAATTTTCAAGACTGATAAGGGTATTATCACCAAACATTATATGTTTTTCCAATATTCATGCCCTTTATTCATTATGATGCTTATAACTCTGACTTTTTTCTCAATGATGATTTAAAACATAGAGATAATAGCCTACATCTACTTCTTGTTCCTGCCTTTAATGCTAATTCTTTGAACTTGTCACATTTAAATATGCTTGCTGTTGATTTTAGGAAATGGATGTTCTCTGTCAATGTAGTTTAACTAAATATTTTTACCATGAACTCATATTGAATTTCTTTCAAAAGCTTTTCCTGTACCCATTGATGTGATCAATTTTTTCTAATCTATTTAGTATGTAAAAAATTACAATGAAACTGTTTTTCAAATGTTGAATCATATATTCATTCCTTGGGCAGAGTTGTTTGTACATTTAATATTCTAATAATTTACATAAAGTATTTGCTGCTATGTAAGAGAGCTTGCTTTATGTGTTTTTTCCATCGGAAAAAAGGGGATGGTCCTCATCTGGTTTTTGAATCCAGGAGGGGTTAGTCTGGGAGAATGAATTGAACAATTACCTATATTTTGTGTGCTTTGGAAGGGTTGAGATAAGATGGTAGTTAGTTTTTCCTGATCATTTGGTAGAATCAGCCTCCAAAACTGACTAACCTGGAATGTTTGAGGTTGGCTTGAGCTTTGAATACTGTATACTTTCAGTTTGTGTCATTTAATTCAAGTTTTCTTTTTGGACCAATGTGGTCATTTATTTATTTTATTTCTACATAATAATTTCACTTTTATAAAAAACGTTTTTATCAGAGAAATCCTCACACATGTAGAATAATAGAGAGACTAATATAACGAATCCAGCATACCCAACACTCAGCATCACTTAAACACTCACCTAACTGCATCTCAGCTGCTAGAATAATTTGGAGCAAATCAAAGACATCAGACCGCTTCATCTCTAAATAATTCAGTATTCATTTTAAAAGATAAGGAAATTCTATTAAACAAAAACCCAATACAATTTTTATTTTTAAAAAATAAATAAATGATTATCAAGTGCTCAACTGTTTTATTTGTTTATTTGGATGAGTGCCCAAATACAGTATTACATAGTGACTTCCTGTAATTAAATCTTCTATCACCTGTGGGCCCCCTCCACGTGACCTGTTTTCTTGCCATTGTTTTGTTGTTGTTGAAAAGAAACAGATCTTGTGCTCTTTTCACTTTTCCATAGTCTGGGTTTGGCTGAATGCAACATTATGATGTCTTTTATCATATTCTTTAGCCCTTAATTTCTAGGGCTACAAGATCCCTCAGGCTCATCAGGATTAAACCCTGCCCCAGTCCTAACTAAGCCATTTTTCTAAAGATCTGGTTCCTTTTAATGGGAAATGGTTCTAGAAATCTACATCTGGATGGTAGGTGTATCATTGCTACTTTTGCCTTTGGTGTTGAATTTAAAAGCGCTTTAACAAACTGAAAGTTATGCAGATTTTATCTTATTTTTTTTATAGAAGTTGTATAGTTTTTGCATTTTGCATTAGGTCTATGATGTATTTTGAGTTAATTTTTCTGAAATACCTAAGGATTTGTCTAGGTTATTGTTATTATTATTGTATAGATATCCAGTTGTTCATGCACCATTTGTTGGAACAATTATACCTTCAGCATTATTGCCTTTCTTAAACATCACCTGATTATATGTGTGCAGGTCTATTTTTGGGCTTTATTCTGTTTTTTTATCTATGTGTTTTTTTATCCATTCACCAAATGTAATACATCTTGGATGCCTATTTTTGGTGATTATGAAATAAGCTATTGTATACATTCATATAAAAATTTTTAATGTAGACATAAGTTTCCAAATTAGTCGGGTTAATACCTAGGAGTAGGATTGCTAAATATTATCAAAAGACTATGTTCAATTTTTTAAGAAAATGCCAAACTGTCTACCAAAGTGCCTGTACCATATTGCAATTCCACCATTAATGAATGAGAGTTTCCTTTGGTCCACATCTTCACTAACAATTGGTATTTCTAAAAATTATGTTAGACATTCTAATTATGTGTGTAGTGGTATCTCATTTTAGTACACAATTCTCTAATGACAAAAGACGTTCAGCACTTTTATTATGCTTATTTGCCATCTACATGTATATCATTTTTGGTGTAGTGTCTATTCAGATCTTTGACTATTTTTATTTATTTTCTATCGTTGAGTTTTAAGAATTCATGTGTATTGTAGAGACGAGTTTTTTTATCACATATGTGTACTACAGATGTTTTTCTCCTAGTCTGTAGCTTCTGTTTTTATTCTCTTAACTCTGTCTTTTGAAGAGCATAAGATTTTTATTTTAATGAAGTCCAACTTGGCAAATTTTTCATTCATTGACAATGCTTTTGGTTGAATTTAAAAACTCAACACCAAACTGAAAATTACATAGTTTTACTCTTACATTTTCATATAGAAGTATGGTTTTGCATTTTGCACTAGGTTTATGATGCATTATACGTTAGGTTTACGATGTATTTTGAG